ACTACCATTGTTGCTCTTGTTCAATAAAAAACAGTTCTCAATTAGATGAAAAAACTGAAGTTTTCTTCTTTTCTTCTCATAATGATTTCTAGTTATCATCTTAGTGATAAACAATATTTTGCTAAATTATTATTATACATTTATGATCATACTAATCAATTTTTTATTCATCGAGAATATAAAACAGAATAATCGACTAGTGAGCAGTAATTAGCACTAAATTATGGTAATCTATGCCGACCCTAATTATATCATTGTGGAAGAGCTATTCAATTGTAATATATGTTATCATTAACAAGATTTTGCAAATAGGAATAGGTAGTAAACACAAAATATTATTGCCTGACAAATTTTATGAAACCAGTTCATAAACTGAGTAAGTTTAACTCGATATCATGCAGTGAACAGCTTGAGTACGAGCAGATACTTCGATAATCAAAGGGAGCTGAATACTGATTGAATAAAGACCGAATAATAACAACACTTAAAGTCTCACTTTGAATTCAAACTTTATAAAAGCCTCATTCTTTATGAAGAAGAGGTCGATGCCTATATTAACAGCCTACCAAAACTGTAAGTCTACGCTTTCTGAATGCATTGTATGAATATTTGAAAAACTCACATGTATGAAGAAACGCAAATAAGTTTGGTATTCGAAACTTCAGAAGAAAAATTCGACTCTTTCTTGAAGAGTAATACCCCCTTAGAATCCTCTCATCTTTACTACAACTTTGTTAACAGTTCTGTCTGACTTATGAATTATACTTTAGTCGCTACAAAAGTTAAAGCTTGTATTAAGTATTACTGGGTGGTTATTACGTTACTATCGATAGTACACTTTAGTTATCTGTCCCCTTATGTGAGTAATGTATAATTCAACAGTTAATTATAACTAGTATCTCACTTGCTTAGCCGCTTCGAAGTTGACCATCTTGAGTCTAAAAGATATAGGAATTTCGAGGTTTTTTTCACTTTTATAGATCTAGCTTTTTGGTCAATGATAACGATTTTAACAAAAACTTCTATCGATTTACTGCTAGACATATCGCACGGTGAGATCAACTTTCTTCTACTGAATAACTAATCGTTTTTATTTCTTTGCATAAGCATGCCGTTATGTACACGCGATACACTTCTATGCGTTTATAGAAATACACGCTGATTAGAAGACGCCGACTACGATTAAATATTTTATATACTACATTAATTATCTTATTGAATGTGTAACCTGCTTTTGATAAATAATTCAATGCTTTGAATTGGTAATTTATATTTTGTCAAGCGAATGGTCTGTACAAAAATACAATGTAGTTAACAGATAGTAGACACAGCTAAGGCAACTACAGCTCTCTAGTCATCTACAAAATACAAATTTATGTATCACCAACAAGGATCACAGTTCATAATTTAAAAGTGAATAATACACTCTATTATACATTATACAAGGAATGAAATCATTTCTTCCTTAAACAGTTATTTGCATTTACAGATAAACTACTGGACAACATGCGAACCTAAAAACCACTCACACTAATCTGTGGTTTTAGCTGGCCAAACAAGGCTGGACTGCTGATTGTTTGGAAGCCCTGCTCTACAGTGGTGTATGTGGACAAATTGAGTTCCCACGACAGTCCTGTACTTGTATCACCGTGACCTAGCTAGCCAGACCCACAGATTAGCGTGCTTAGTTTCGAGCAAATCATGTTCTTCAGTAGTGTCCTCCGATCACTTATGACACTTTAAAGTCAGAGAACACACCTTATGATCTTTGCAGACAGGTAATTTTCAACGGAAACTTCAAGAACTGTACATCTGGACAGTTGGAAGACTAATCAGCTGTTAAAAAGGCAACCTGAACCGTGCATTTACAATTTAATCATCCTACTTAAGTTGAGATAAACAAATTTATTCTCTTGGTGCCACAAGAATTGAGATTAAAACGATTGGAAGCAGTTTGAAATAATCTTTAGGAATAGTACTAGTAACCGGAAACAAATAGGTTGACGACTGGCAGTGAGAATTATAACTGACCGATAACTCAGTGAAAGACCAGTAACTTCTGCGATCTGTTAATGAACTGTTAATGCATCTCTCACTTAGTTGTATACCTTTAGCCTAAAGTAATGGAAACATTCAGTGAGATGCAACCAACATCAACAATAAGCATAAAAGTTAGCTAAATAAGGTACATGTTTCTATTAAAAGAATCTGACTTTGTCACATTCATGGTTATTACTGATAAATTCTGAGCATGAAATCGTTAAGACCAAATTGAAATAGCAAAAAAATACTCTAACTACGCCTTATATAACTATGAATTGTTAGCATGGGATACAGTCATTTTCAAATCTCTGGTATACAACTAGTGTAGCATCATATCATAAAAAACACTAAATAAACTACAACGGTCCGAAATCAAAAAGGAAGAAAAGCACAGCAAAGATATAAAGAAAAAATACTAAAACAACTAAAAGGATAACCAATCTGATATCTGTTATGAGGGGTGATAATATTTTGAATATTTTAAAAATTTCTATTTCAAAGTTTTCATAACTGAGTGACCGCACTATCACCAATATTTCAGCAAACCGTAAGAACTCTGGAAAAAGTTTCCATCAATCGAAGCCTTTCAAACTTTTCATTCTTTTTAAAGACAGCCGTCAACAAGTTGGATATTGAAGATGATCAAATGAAAATAGCATAACCGTGAAATCGAGCATCTGTAACAACAAGAGAGTTGAAATACTTCATAAAGTGATTCGATAAAGGAAAAGGTTGCAAAGTTTGTAACCACTGGTTGAACAAATAATATGTTATTGGAAACTCAGGAAGCCTTATGTATATTCCGCTAGAAGACTGGCAGTGTGTAGCGCCACACAGACAGTATACACCGATTGTTTGCTTTCTTTAAGATCCACGTCACACGTTGAAACCACTTTGATAAGCATTATGGGCGTAGGGTGTTATGTTATCTATACCACGATATAGAAGTTCAGCTAACAAGAGTGTCTCGGAAAGGTGGCTGCAAATAATTAGCTTACCACACTCACATTTGTTAAACATTTTATGCTGTCAACGCATATATGAGAACATATTAAGGCCTGGCTTTATAAGGGTGAAAGAAGATGCATTAGTGGTTGTGTCCTTGAGCATTCGATAGATTTCAACCATTCAACCGACCCAAACAATGATTTTAAGGTTGTCTATCGAATTTGCTCAAACACCTCACGTTTCCTCAGTGTTCAACCTCGAAAAATAGCAGAGGTATTGGCTATCCATGAACTGAAGCCTGACCTTTGTGTGCAATAGAAGTATGTACAGTCTTTGCCTCTATCTTGGCCTTAATTTATGTTAGTCTTGGTGTACTTCGTTCTTTTTTCGTTTTTCATTCCCCCCCCCACCACCACTTTTTATCAGACTAATCTTTGTACTCTTATTTCATCATTATCACTTTATTTTTATATTTAGTTGTTTCCGGTGTTATTTCATTTGATCTTCCTAATAAACGCAACTTTTAACAAAACATTTTCAATTTCCTCCAATTAATTTGTCTCACTTATATTATCTAGTCCTTTGTTTATTAACGTTCTCACCCCTTTTTAATCAATATGCACTTTATAAACGATTCGAAAATATTATATAACCCCTTTTTGTTATTATTCGACCTTTACGTCACCAACTATGATTATCTGACCATTATTATTGTTTCAACCCTCCATTATTTAAGTTGAATCTTCCTCACTGGTCACAGTCTTTAAACATCATATGTGTATATAAACACTTGTATACAGCTGGGGTATAAATTCCTTGAAAATAGTCCTCTTCGCTGAATATCTTGTTTTTGATATCATAATGGGAATTATCAACGCAAAGATTTTATGACTCAAACTCTTCTTGTTTCATCAGCTGTTTAAATTTCGGGATTTGATGTGGAAAATTTGGGGTCCATATTTACTTATTCTAGTAAAAGTTCAGTCATTATCCATTGCCGTTTTGGATACTGATTGAAACAATCTTCTTCTTAATGGGATCAAATATTCGCTTCTGGAATTACACTCTACAGAGCAAAGAATTTCTGAATTTTTACTGAAGGAGATTATTTAAATAAGAGTTTGTGCTGATCTGTGGTGCATGGACTGGTTTCAACATCTGAGAAAATGTAATATGTAAAGAAAGTATGGCCTTGAGTTTATATTATTCCTGAGTCAATCGTTAGATAGTAGCGTTATAGCCCTCAGTTCCTTAGTCTTACTGGACCTTTTTAGACCAACTGGTCAATGAGCTAAGTGTCGATAAACTCCATTGCATTTTAGTGTCCTATCATTGCGAGTTAGTCGGTAGTAGACCATGAACCGGGGTTTCTTACGTGTTGGCAGTAGTCGGCAAGAGTCATCTACAATCTTGGGAGGGGGGACATATTTTCACGGGCTTTCGAAAACGTTTCACTTCATGCCTCAAAAATTTATCAAGTCAAGAGTGTTTCCTGGTCAACAGATGGTAACCCATATATTTAAGATTCAAAATTTGTTCACCTTGCAAAGATATCTATCTTACAGAATAAACAATACTAAAGCCTTACAAAAAGTAGTTCGTTCTACGGTTTTAAATTGTATGAATGAAAAGATTTTAAATAGTTGCTCACAATGGCCTTTTCTGTCAGATACAACGCGCATTCACCTAATAGGTTGGAAATAAAACATGCGGGTACAGACAGTGTTATCTGCTGTTAGCACAAACTGTAGAACTCTCGAGTACTATGTTATTTGACATTGACAGTTATAAACAAACAGTTTGGTTTTAAAGCACCAATTAGGTATAGTTTCTCGATCTACCCCGGCATTCGATGCTTTTTGTATAAGAATTACACTTCATTCTTTGTACAATAGATAACTACTAAAATTAAAGATCTAATATCGGTAATGACTACTTTCTTTTATTGTATACAATTTTATGCATAGAATGTCAATCAAATCTATTCGTTTCTTTTCAAATTACACCAGAAGTATTGAAACTGAAAAAAGTGACTTCTTCAAAGATCCTCCATGGCCTAAACTTGACGTCAAACTTTCTATTAAGGATGAAAATGGACAATCTGTACAAACAATACTTGAATCAACATCTGTTAGATTTGAAGCTGAATTGGTTGATGAATTAAGTAAGTTAATTGAATTTCTGAGTTTTCATACAATAGATTTCTTGATAAGAATTTGTATGGTAAAAGCATTCAGTAAAGTTTAATGTTTGCTTACCAACATCTTTTGCTGAAAACCTATTCATTGCTTCAATTTTAGATTTTTCAGTTAACAGCGAATGCCGAATAGTGTATTCTACTAGAGAAACCTAAAAAGTATTGGATAGCGAAAACCCTTTATCACCTCGGAAAGAAAGTGATCAGTAAATCTGTTGAAATAGATTCAGTCTACCTACCAATCAAAAGAAAAAAGTTACTGACAAGAGGTGAAGGATCTGACGATGAAACAAGCTCGGTTCAGGAATATAGAACTCCTCCACTAGCCGCACTACTTTTATGGATAGCTAATACACTTCCAAATTAATCGAACACAAAATCAAGCAAAATGAAGAAATTGTCCAGCTTCTATTTTTTCTAGGCCTTGCTGTGACGATGACTTTTGGTTTGAAAGTGTAAGGTTACTTATCAAAGTGGTCGGCTAAGAGAAGATAGTAAATACAAGAATGATCATTTCGATTTACAGTTTTCTGTTGGTATCACTTCTTGTATCAAACTAAGGGCTGATTATAAGTTATCTATCCAGTTTAGCTGTGCTCTGTTGAGGAGCTCGGTTCATAGTTCATCTTTCACTATGAATAAAATCCTGAAGTATCCCGAAATAACACCTCTCCTTACAATCAGCTGACCTCCTCTTGCAATGCTAGCAGAAGTTAAACCAGGTTTTAAGAGGGTTAAGGGTGGCTAGACCAAGACATGACACTAGTCCGTGAAGTACCCAAGTCTAATTCTGAGCAGTATAGGGAGATGCAGACTGCTGCGTTGGGTTGAGGGCTGTTCGCGCTGTGGCGGAAAATCGGTTACAATGCAGGAGATGTCTTCTAAAGCTTGAATATTTGCGCTAACTTTTATCTTTAATTAGCACACTATTTCTCATACAATTTTGTCTACTTTGACATTACTTTTTCTATGCACTTTACTTTGGAAAATACTGTGACGTGTGTCAACCTGAATAGACGCAGCTGTATGTGAGGTTCTGCGTTAATTTTGTCTGCTGTCTGACATTAGGCATAATCTTGTAGAACTGGTGACAGCCAAGGTTGAACTGTGACTGATTACTCATTCAGTGTCAAATCACAAATTATCTGCAGCACAATTATTAGAGTACAATTAGTTACTTGGATACATCTATGCCAAATATTATCATAAAATCAGTTTGAGAAAGGTCAAGTGAAGACAAAATCAGACTATTTCAACAAACCAATCATGAAGCAGAATATGTCTTCAAATCTTATCAGCATATTCGTGGCAAATATGTGAAGCACAGTTTGTTGTAAAATCTGACTGAGAGTTGTAATGTAGACATTCGTAAAAGCCTGAAAATCGAAAATTCTTTCGAATGAAAGTTATCATGCACAAGGACCCTACAAACCTTATAAAAATTCAATTGTGTACACTTTCAAACAAAAACTTTAGTAACATATCAGTACTTAACCCAATAAACTGAAGACCAAATAAGTATCAGTAGAGCATGAGAAGGCTTCAAAATAAAATCAGGTTCAATTTCAACCTGATATGTCATACAATATTTGCCTAGAACAGCTAATATCTAATAAATTAATTTTATTTATATTGCCAATAAAATTAGAAACCTATCACTTTTAAAAGTTGGTAATCACATCTTCCATGTAACCATAACAACCAGAAGGGTAACTGATCAATGTTCAGTGATAATGGTTGTCATAGACGATATGCTGTTTTAATTTATCCCCTTTATTACAACCGCCATAATAGTTAAAGAATCGTTTTGTTCAAGAAAATCATACATAATAAAAAAATGACCAAGTTAAATACTGGGATAGATGGAATGTAATTATGAGACAAAGATACAAAGAAAATTTAATAAGATAATGGGATATGCCATCAAATAAGGTATGTTCCATTTTTGAATACAAACAAGTATGTAATTGCTTTCACTTGTATGTACATACTGGCAATCAAATTTTAACAATACTTACAAAGGAAATTTCTTTCTGTGTTCAAAAGCTGCAAAACATAATACGGTTCATTATCCACCATAATTCTTGCTGAATACTTCTAAACATTTCAGCATTCGTAGATATGTGACAGACTTTAATCCTTAATAATAGGATTCCTAGATGGAAGATCATAACCATTTGGTGACGGAAAAAAGCTAGTAGCGGCTACTAGGTTAAACAAGATACATACAGATGATAAAAAGTGGCAGAAAATCAAAGAACAAACAATGAGTACTCATATAGAGTGAAAATTAGGAGATATACGTAGCAAACTGTTAGCAGTGCGTATCGCCGATAGTTTACCATTTGAACATGAAAACCTTCTTTTTAATAACTTAGGATGTTTGTTGGTACTGATATTTTGATATTTTCTGTCCTCATAACCTGAAATTACTCTCATCCTACTGCGTTTCATCTTTTATAGATGAAACTGTGGATTTATAGAGATTATTTGTGAAAACCACTATTATGTTTAAGCATGATAATAGTTGTAAATTGTAAATTAGGTTTTATAATTTTTCGACTGCTTACATATTGTAATGAATACTTCGACTGTCAATAGGTTATGAATAAATCTTGTAGATATTTAAATTTTTTCGGACAATAATTGCTTTTAAAAATATAAACCAGTTCTGCTTGACGTGTACAGTTAATAAGCAGATTGTCTAAGCGTCCCCTCATCGAAAATTAAACTACCAAACACTTCGGTGTTCACAAAATGAGTAATAAAGCTTGACTGTAGCTATTAAGATTAAAGTGATGATAAACTGTTATCCTTCTCTCCACTTGGATCTAAACTACAAATACATTGGCCGAATCACTTCTCAGTCATGAAGACAGATAACAGAATAAACAAGGCTTACAGACTTAAAGATAGAAGACAGCTGTAATGAAGAGAAAAACTCCTTTTCGACGCAATCGTTATCTTAGCTGTACATTCGTCAATATATGGTAGAATCAAAAGAACATTTAAGAGTAATTTCAGGTCAAAGGTAAAAACAACCTGCATGATAAAAGGAAGTTACGTAATACCTACAGGTGTTCAAAATGGGGAAATGAGGGAATGGTTATAAAATAAAACGTTATTTCATAAGGGAGATATCTAGAATGATCTATCTTTTAAGATGGCCATGATAAAGAAAAAGGTTGTTCATAATTCTTGTGAGTGCATAATGATGGTTTGAACTTTTGGACTGCTGATACTTCAGCTATGTCCAAGTGTCTCAACCTTACTGCTTTTGAGTGACTTATCAAGAGCTGCGAAGTTTCCTAAGTTCCCTAGGTGTTTTCTGCTGCACAGCTGAAGATGCATTGCCTTTCTCCTCATGCCAACCAGGTTAGGTAGTGTTCTCTGACGCATTTCACGAGCTTGTGCCTGGTGTGGCAGATGTACTCATTTTCTAAGGAGCAAGTAAACTTATACACACACATCTATCCGGTCTAATGCTCTAGCTTATCGTTTGTTTACTAAACGATGAGGTTCTGGAGAAAAAATGTGATTCTGAGATTAGTGACGAAAATATTTCTTCTCCATAATCGTCTTCTTTCTTTTCCTACTGGAAAATTCATTTGTCAGGATACTTCAAAATAGTCTACTTCTGCTTATGAAGTTATAAAAAAGAACTAGGAAATTTCATGACTTCTCATTCTATAGTAATCAAGCTAAGCCTGAAAAGTTTTACATCTTTTCACTTGTTCTGCTTGTGTTTGGAAAAGTCATTCGTTTGCCCCTGTATTTTGAAGTTCGTTGCCTTTCTGATTATCATGCCTGAGTTGTCAAGTACTTCATATTAATATGCTGAATACCAAATTCTTAGAATATCCTAAATTCTAATCCACTCCGAATGATTTTTCCCGCTCATCTGTATAAAATTTGCTGAATCATTTCATAGGGAATGGAGTAAGATGGTAACCAATAGTCTCCCCAACTGCCACATACATATCGTTATACACCATTGTTACCGTTTGGTATCATAATGCTAAAATATGAATGGACAATGTTTTGCAAAAAAAATTGGATGATTTTAACGGTGTATCTGCCCAGTGGGTTGTAATTCCCTGGAGTAGCAAGACACAGTTTAAATAAACGCAGTCATTCATTAGTGAGGTAATTTCGACCGGTGTAAACGCGACTAATATGCATTGGTGACTTCAAGAACATTTCACATTCATGATTGCTAATCCCTAACACCAAGAAATATTGCTACCTTGAGGGACTTTGTGTTCAGTTAGCTAAGCAGACCCCCCCCTTTACTTAAAATGGCCAGTTGTTCTCATTGCTGATGAAAGCTGTTTTCTTTGAACTCACACAATAAATCAGTCGCAGACATTAGTTGTTCAATATCAGCAGCCAAACGATCAATCAACTGTTGTACAATAATGTAAATGATGTCCAGTTCAACTGGATATTGGTTGTGTTGTTAGTTTTTGAATTCACCTTGCCGCTAGCACTGTGCATTGTGTTTTTAATTTATGCTGTTTGTTACGACACAATCATATTTCTATTTGCGTATTTTCTATCTACAATTTACATGTTTGTCTGATAATTTGTGTGATCCCTCCAACTTTTTTATTTACTCAGATATATACAAGGCCGTAATTGTTGAAGAATGCTACATGATAGACAAGATTGAATCTGGTCAAAGGAATGAAGGTTCAAAGGAAACGCTTTTATTATACAAAGGGTATGTTGTTCCAATGGTTGTTCTTTCGTCTATGTTTATACATATACACACACATATATATATATATATATATATATATGTCATATTATGTGACATTGTTGTTTATGATAATCAGTATCTTATAACAACAAGTTAAATAAAAGAGTGAGAAAACTGTCACGATATTGTTTCCTGAAAATTATGTGTAAACAATATTTGTATTATTCACTAATGAACAAATTGATAAGCAATATGATTTTATAAATCCTTAAAGAACCATAATAACACCGCTATGAAAGGACCTGATGGAAATAGCTTGTCTAAATTTAGTTCATCTTGGAGCACTACAGAGCAATTTATTGGTCTTTTTAACATTAATTATCATGCTGGACCGAATTGATTGGGTTTTGTTAGTGTGTAGACTCTTACAAGGGTGCATTTATGTTGCCTAAAGATTTATTTTGATGTAACTGCTCCAGTCAGTATTGAGGTACCCCTAAAGGTTCTCATATTCTAACAGATACTAATTATTTCTCTCTAGTACAAAAATCGATAAAATTACAAATATTAATGAATAACACTTAATACTTGTTTCACAGGTGTTGACTATTGTTACGCTATGGTGTTTGAACCAATGCACCCTCGGCTGGAATCTTAGTAGGAGTAGCATTATTCACTGAAAGGTAGATACATTCAGCTGAAGTGTCTTGAATAGGGCGAAACATGCTCCCTGTGTCCAATTTCCAGTGACCACCAAGCGTATACATCATCACTAGTCAACTCCAGAAATTTTTGCGTTACCAGCGAAGTTCTAACATCAAGTCGGATTATATCCACCATTTAACCGATTTCATTCTGATTATGATAATAATAATTATCATAATTTTTATTATGAATTTTGGTAAAGTATAAAATTAGTGTCTTTTGTTGCTCAGTGGGTAACGTTCACATATTGCCAAAGTATTTTCAAGTCTGGTTACAAACTGCCTAATACAAGGGGTTGTCAAGTCCTGGTCATAAAATGTCAGAAACTAATAAACCATTTTGTATATTCGGTGCAGAAAAAACAATTAGTAAAATAATATCCTGGACAATGATCTAAGAATGTGTGGAATCTTTGCCTGAAGCTGAAGAAATATTATTCTTCCTATAAGTACCGCATAAGAATAATTAAGTAAGCATAGATGGCACAAATTCCATCAGGGATATTTCTGGATAGAAAGGTTTTAGTCATGACGATACTCCAAAGTTAATCAAATTAACTCCTCTAGCAACTGAAATTTTAAGTCACAAACGATATTTTTTGTATAATTAATGGCATATGAAAGTTTTATGTGACATGTACGATGTAATCATAGTGACAACTATATATATATATATATATTCATCGAAGCTGTAAATTGACATTCCAGCGACATATTAAATCAAGTTTGTTTTCTTATGTACGAAAGAAGAGCATGAATTTAATCACTTTGCAACCAACTTAATCCTGCCTGTTGTAGTCCCTATTGCTATGCTGATTATAAGTAGAAATTCGGATATCTACAATAATAGGATACCATGTATTTTGCATCTGATTAATTATATGGCTCATGAAACTAACGAAAAATGTTTCGCTTATCATAACTTGTAGACATGAAACGTACTTACTTCCAAATGCTATCATTTTAGCAATGACAAGATAGTTTATTTGTCTGGCATAATTGCGTACACTATCAAACCAAAACACGGATTTCCAATATGGATATATATATATATATATATATATATATATATATATATTTATTTATGTCACATAATGCAAGCCAAATTTTATAAATGACTTTTCCTTTTGGAGACTGCAGTCATTCAGTCTGCGATTTAATTAGTCAGTGTGTATTTAAATTTGAAGCAAAGGCAGGAGTAAGACAGAGCTACCAAATATCATTGATGATCCCCCTGATTGTGATCGACTGGATCATGCAACAAACTGCGAGTAGCAAGAAGAGGAGTATACGCTGTTTAACCGATGAAAAGACCCTAGAAGATTTTGATTTCGTCAGTGATGAGGATGATTTATGTCTAATATCGCAAAAACTCGAAGATCTACAGGCGAAAACTAACAAGTTGGCAGAAGAGGCAGGACAGTGAAGGAAGACTGGACTTCAGGTGAACGTAGAGAAGATAGAGGTAATGAAGATACCCAAACAACAACAGCAACAACACGCACTAATCACCATCAACGGGAGAAATCTAAAAGAAGCTGTATATTAAGTCAAAGCTTGCCTTTTGGAAAAGTCCTCACATCTTCGAAGTTGTCTCTTTTGGCTACCTAAGCAGGATCGTTTCAACTACAGGCGGCACAGATGAGGACGTCAAAGCACGGATCTAAAAGGCAGCAAGATAGGTCTTCATCAACTTGAAATCAGTGTGGAGATATACTGCACTCAGCATAAAGCGTAAACAACATCCAGATTTTCAACACCAAGTCAGTCAAATCAGTGCTTCTATGTGATGGTTCAGAAACTTGACGCGTCACGAATAGCATTTCCAACAAACTACACACATTCATAAACAGCTGCCGCCTACCCTCACTTGATAATGAAGACCAGGTGGCCAGGGAGAATAAGCAACAAGGAACTCTGGCTGACTGGCTGGCAACGAACTAACCAAGAACCCATCGCCCAACAAATATGCAGAAGCAGAAAGTGGAGATGGATTAGATTGGAAATACACTGAGAAGACCGATTGGGGACACTGCACACCAGGCCAGGCCAACCATCGAGTGGAACCCAAAGGGGAAACGATGAGTTGGGCGTCCGAGGTGAGGGTGACATGGAGAAGATCATGTGAGGAAGCAATGAAAGTTTGTGGGCAGTCGTGGAGCCAGGTTGAAAAGACTGCAGAGAAGAGAGTGAAATGGTGACGTGTTACTGAAGCCCTATGTTCCATTAGAAACCCAAAGAACGAATAATATAATATTATAATAATGCATATAAATACAGAGGGTAACTTGTTAGTGTAGAGCTAATTAGCTTTGGTTGATAGTAGAAATCAAATTCAATCGTATGACATTAAAGTGTATAAAAAGAGATTCAATTCGGAGGTTGGACATGACGATAGTTACTCAAAGATGACATTAGACGTAGGTCACGCTGTATCGACTCTGATCTAATGGAGCAATGGCAACATGCTGCCCATGGAAAATGAGGGTCCTAGGTCCGACCCCTAGCAGAATCTTGGATGCTGAGGAATCCTACACTAGAACCATTGTCCTAAAGTTTTCAACGGTTCTTCAAATGGTGTCAGTCTGTGGTGAATACGAATTTGGACTCGATATTCATTCACTTTTATTTGGTTAGAAACGGAAACAAATACCTTGTTTTAAGGTTACGTTTTGAATCGGAGAAATAAATACTATGTTCAATAGATACACTTATGTCAGCAATAATACTCTAGTTAACCCATGATTAAACAGTATACAGAATTTTAGAGCACATTCATTGAAATCTTTCGTAAGGATCTGTCAGCTTAGAAGTAATGTGTTAAGTACATATGTATGAAGCATTTACTAGTATCCATTTTCAAGCAGAACGTAGTGTTAAGAAGTGCTGTTTAGGCTCGAGTAATTCACCTCTATTAGGCGACATTGAAGACTTCAGTTTCACAGCAGTAACCTTTATGTGAGCCCAAATACTAAGCCCTTAGAAATGCAGGTTAAGCATGTTTGGATTTTATTGACTGATTACTTTTTCTGATAGAGTACAAATAATTAGCCGTCTCACACTGATATGATAACTTGACTCAATACTTAAAAGTTTATATGCACCTCGTATCTCAGTCAGTAAAGCCCCAGATTAGTTACTCCTAAGTCACTACTTATGATTTTTGTAAAACACTGGATTCCGTGTGAATGAGGTCGCAGACTAGAGGAATTTTCCACAGTTAGTCAGTTGAGATTGTCTGAGATTATTTATTCGACAACTGAAGGGTATTTTATCACTTACCAGTTAGAATTTCTTCAAATGATGTTGTTTTAAGTGAAAGTTATGTACTCTCAGGATGTTTAATAACTGAAATGATCTTACATTTCTCTTCGGACTGGATCCAATTGCAAATCGTCTTTACGAGTAAAATTGCTTGTAATACTAAGACTTAAATTAAAATTGTTCTGGAATACTCCTGGTCGAATATTTCAGTTAGTTTTTAACTACTTATCTTAGAATATTAACCTGAGTTTATACACAGTCGGTTATCCACCACCCGAAATTTCTACGCTTCATTAAACAGTTGCAAAACTTTGTTCACTAAATAATAATTTTACATTTTGGAATAAGAGTACGTAGTGGTATTATGTATGACACCCAGTAAACCTTCAAAGTATCCAATTTAACTTTATACAGAGAGTGATTCACAGGCTAAAGGTTAAGTTTGTAAACTTAAAGCTGCAAAATGTATATATAAGGATTTTTTTATTTGGAAAACAAATATTTTATTGCAATTCCAGGAGATAATGATGGGCTCAAACAACCATAAGGTGTAGGTTGTGCACTTCCTATATATCACTTCTGATTGACGTATACTATACAACAGCTAATTAATTACAATAATGACTGGTTATTTTCTTTATTTCTCAAAACTGCAGAACGGTCAAGCCACTAACTCATGAATTACCTTCGAATTCCAATAATAAATTAAACTGACTGGTTGGTGATTGAACAATCTACACCTACATATTACATCTGAATGATAATAAAAAAAGGAATGAACATTTACTTGTGTTGAACCACCAATGGGTAGCCCCTCGGTGAAACTGAAATTTTTCCTAGTCAACAATTTCTCATCTATTGATCAAGTCCTACAGTAAAAAGTAAACACTGGATTATATACATATGCGTCAACTTACAATAAAGGTTAATTGAAGAGAATAAACCGAGATGTAGCATGACCGACAGTTGTAGAATTTTACTGGCTAGAAAAAAAATACTGTCATGAGTATTCATAGGGATTTCAGTTACTTTATTGTTAAACAAACTTTGATACCGTACTGAGTCCGGTCTAATCGTTTTTTGTATAGCATAATGATCTAAATGCAATCAATCCTTGTGATTAATTACACTAAGTGACGAACCACAATCTTAACCAAGAATTCAGGCCATATTTTTAGCAAATTTTATCCACATTTTTGGATTGGCTTGTAGTTCGAGGCTGGACATATATTTGGATGTTTTCTTCTATTAACCAAAGGGGTCAGTCACCCCACTGAGCAACAAACATCTTTCAGCAATGCAAACACATGAAAGCAGACACTCCTACGAAAGTATCATGTTACTGCTCCTTTAAAAGTGATCAGTAAATCTGTCAGGCTTTCAAGTTTCTACCGCCGCCGTGTAATCGGCTCGTTGACCGTACTCACCTTATCGTGGGCAGGCGATACGTCTCACTGATTAACCACACTCTTGCAGAATCGGATGCAGCACACCTCCTCTGTGAGAAACGGAAGCTCCTCCCAGGTTGCCTGAAAGTAGGCTTCCAATCTAGTGAACGATACCCGTAATTGCGGACTAATTACCGTCCCATATTAGAAAGGTAAACCACACCACCTCTCTTGAGACTACTTCAACGGTAGTGACCATTGGAATTGGGAAGTTGGATTCCGTTACCTTTTGTTGGCGTACTTCTCCGAACTCACTGGTGAGAATCCTGGCGGATAACAGTGCCATTCTTGCTTTAAAGATCCATGCCACTGATCAATGCATATGGATCTCGTTGACCAATTAGTTAGCTGTGACGATGCATTGGTTCGAATCCGATAGGGCTATAAAGAAGCTTATCAATGTTGCGTAACTGGGCTTGACCAGTATTCACCGGTGCAAATGTCATTTTCACCTCAAAAAATCACACCACTTAATCGCACCATGATACGTTTCTTCACATTGAAGCCCATGCACGTAACTATGGTGAGTCATTCGTCTAACTTGAGAAAGTTACAGTCACTTCCCTTGACTAATCCGTGTGATTACTTGCATTAGGTGGTAAACCATGACCTTAACCAGGAATTAAGGCCATACATACATCCGCTTCTCAGATGACTAGCCCAACTGTAAAAGTCTCTACTATTTACCATTTACTATTGCCTGTTGAAGTGAGGAAATAAAACTAAACTCATTGACTGATGAGATGAAAAATTCACATTGTAGACGTTTTTACTTAGAAATGAACTGAACTCTTGAGTAGGAAGTTTCATTTTTGAATGCCTTAAAATAATTTAACAGATGTACTTTACCATCATTTTGACATTTGCTTTTTCAAATAAATGTAGAATAAAACAAATTTGTAGGTTTTCGTGGATTTATTTGTTTCAAGTTTTGGTTTACCATGTACTGACATTATTTGGAGAACCACTGAAAACATGGGACCTCTGGATAGCTGTTTGGTCCTATTACATGAATCTTTAGCAGTGCACATCCCCTACCCTGTCTAGGATCCAATCCAGGACCTTCAGGCTCCATAGTCACCACATTACCTTTGAGCCACTGGGTCGAAATTAAGTAGTTCACATTATTTTACTTCTCTCAATTCGTGGCACAACACGACATCTATCCAATGTTGCCATTCAGTAACTATCTGGACATCAAACTACTTTTGCCCCACCGCTCATAAGTTCGATTATGAGCCTTAAACCAGGTCAAACGTTAGGACAACTCAATGCAGGCATTCGATGGAGGTTTCGCTATATCATGAACTGACAAAGGGTATGTAAATTTGGACCCTTTATTTTTGACCTGGTGGCTCAAGATTAATGTGCTGGTTACGAAACCTGAAGTCCTAGATAGGGTAGCGGGCGTACACTGCTGAGAAGTCCCATACTAGGACAAAACAGCTGTCAAGTGCTCCCAGGTTTTCAACAATTCTTCAAGTGATGTCACTTCGTAATGAATCCCGACTTGGTAATCTTTTTTTAAACATTTATTCGGAAATGTATATACCGAAATAACGATTATTGCTTATCCAGTGCCCAAATTGTTTAAAACTATCAAATTTCAACTTAGTTTGGATATCTGTATAGATGTGGATTTTTACTGTATGTGTAGAATCTTAGAGTTAATTGATGTTTAGTGACTTAAACTGACTATTATTTTCTAAATTTAAGGTGTCCAATGCTTAAAGCAGAATTAAAGGAAAAGTCATCTGTTGGTTTCAATTTCCATAAAAATCATTATGATAATGAACAAGCTTTAATCTTTCGATCAACAGATAATTTACACTATCTACAAACGGGTTTATTCCGTCTTTATCCAAACTATTCACCAATGTCTGTAGATGGGCAAACAAAGACAAATACACGGAATGCTAGTTCTACATTTACCCATGATAGGACAGCAAAACTAACATTTGAAAAAATTAACTCAGTAGATGAAACTTACAAACGAAAATTGAATGAAATTGGACATCGACTGCATGAATTAAAATTCACGTGTACATTTCGTGTGTGCAAGCAATTGGCTTGGTGTTCATGGGTGAGTTTAGCCTTATAGTTACCAAACGTTTATACCATTAATGTTCATCTGAAATCTTTTACATTTACATACTCGTGTTTGGGCTTAATAGCCAGTGGTGAGCGTTTATTCAGTACACATATATATTTCATCAGTACTTACTCTATGATAAATTCAAGTATGACTTCATCACAGAATTGCGTAGACAGAAGTTTCGTCAATTTTGTTCATCATTAGATAGAATGATTATTTGGGCAATTTCATTATTTACATATAAGTCAGTTTAACACTGATTTATGTTAGTTCGCATTGCATAAAAAAGCCCTGTTTGCGAATTACTCATATATTGAATTCACAAAACTTGTTTGGTATGGATATAATAAAGAGTATTATTCATGGATCAACGTCAGCCAGGAAACCATGACTGAAAGCTGTTGCGTTACATTTTGAGACTTTTAAGCAGTTCACCAATTGATTCAAGCAGAAAGATTCATTTTTTGAAATAGGTTGACGTCAGTATGATAACTGCAAATACCATTTTTTTTGTCGATGCTTGACAAGCTGTCATTATATTGTCATCGGAGTTGCCTACATATACTGGAAATTTACATAGTGTCTGTGATTCATCATTTAATATTCATACAGTCAACCTCAGAACGCATTCCTTTGTGCATGGAATATTCCCTGGTGATGTTTTGATCCTAAATTGAAGCTTAAACTGAATTGCTAAGTTATTAAGGTGGCTATTTCCATCATGTTCATTGTGTTTTCCACCTAATTTTACCAGTGATTTTTGATATATAGGTTAGTTCAGATACCCACCGGTTACAAATCTTTTGAAGAATTCTTTTTTTCTTGCTCCCATGAAGTTACAGTATTACAACACGTATCGAATCATGCGATTAAAACTCTCACAGTAGCTTATTTGCATAAGGTATCGAGTTCCTGCCCTTATATTCCAAGTGTTTTTCTGCTTATATCATTTTTCGGGACAACTAACTTCGGTCATATACTGTCTGGCATAAAAACATCTGGGCGCTTTTTCTCACTGCATCTTTCTTCGTTCTTAAAAGAAGTGGTTCTTGAGCCCCAGTGGATAAACCTTCCTCGTTTGAAGAGATGATTACTGGGTTTCAGTGTCAGTGAGAACAACATCACTTACAGGGTTGTAGGTAAATCCACCTGAAAAGTCTGTCCCAAATAAGACGAAACATGCAACCTGGATTCCGTTGCTAGTCACTAAGTTAAATTCATTTCTTACGTTTCACTTCATTAATAGGTTTTATAGTGCAACGTATTTTTTTTCCGACTAGCCTTGTAACTAAAATAAAGTATGTTTAAATGCGGCAGGTTAAAAAATTCCATCGAAGTTCCTTATGAATAGCATCACAGGTGTTAATAGTAGTAATAATAGTAATGGCAATACTGTGAAGAAAAAATTCAAAAACCTTTACCATACAAAGAAGGCACCTCAGAAACTACGTAGAATTCTCAGTAAGGCTGGGCTTAGAGTGTCATTTAAGCCGACAAACTCACTCAGAAATAAGCTTTGTAGATTAAAAGATCCTATTGGTTCAATTAACCAGGGTAACTTAATTTACCAAATCCCTTGCAACGATGGTGAGGTCAAATACGTATGTCAGAGTAGCCGACCAGGGTCAATTAGGCTATTCGAGCACAAGAACCCAGCTAGGTCAAAATCGGGAGATCCTAGTAAGGTAAGGAATGTAGAAAAAGCCTCAGCCATGGCTTTGCATACAACTACACAACAGAATGGAACAGGGTGAAAATTCTTAAAACTAACAAAACAGGATGGAGGGGGAGATTGATAACTGAGTCTTTGTCTTACGAATGAACCAACACCTACTATATGCAACAGGAATGACTGAGTACCTATTCCCGATATATGGAAATACTATTATTTCACCCTTTCTAATTTTATGTCAAAATTTTGAAATTAAAGTCAACCAAACCTCTAACTATGTGTATCAAAAGTTTCGGAAGAACCCCGAATACTGAAGACATATGTAGAGAGGTTATAGGTTGGTTCGCTGATATATTTTAAACTTAGTCTGTGAACGAAGTGAAGTCTTCGACTTTGGGTTGCAGTTCTGAAGAAGTTTATCTGTGTTCTTTCATTTTATTTGGTCGGGAAGATCAGTCAGGAAGTATGGTCTTTCAAGATTGATTTTAACTTGGTTACGTTTCACATTCTCTTCTATTTATATTGGTTATTATGTTCTGTTTATCGCCTTTGCAATTATATTTGCTTGTTTTTTCAACCACTTAACAACGTTTAAACATCCGGGCGAAAGAGCTTTGGTTTAGCTCGGATGTTGAAAGTTCCACTTGGCCTTCAACTTGATAATGATCTCAATAATGAACAAAAAATTATCAGTAACAAAAAATTGTTTTTCGGTTTTCATTATTTGTAAAATATAGACACCAGGAATACTGAATACAATCGACGTGGTGCCTTCGTTTTTCCAAACCATAAAATCTCAATTTTATTCTGCATCCAAGTTATCAAGAAACTTTCCTTTTACTTACTGGACACTGACAACTCTAATTTGATATTGCCACCATTTAGATTGTAGCATATGGTCAGAACTTCTAGACGAATTCTAAGAGGTTTGAAGATGACTGATGCATGATGATGAAAGTTTTCTTTGAATGTGACTAGTCAGATTAGCTAAAGGGATGTCGTTTGACGTTCGATGTTTTTTCTGAGCTGGGTGGTTTAATAGTGAAGCTTTCATTGTCATTCTAGACAAAACTATTAGCAAAAACGTCCATCAATACATAGGGACAACTGTGAACCTGACTTTGACTTGGAAAATGTAGAAATCCTGGATAGATGAAACTCAAAGAATGCCAGAGGATTTTTAGAAACTTGGTATTCAAGTCAGTCAGTATCCAGCAGACATAATGACATTGACCCAATCTACCAATCAATAAGAAACAACAAGAAGGTCAGGTTTCAGGTCATCAGAACAACCAATCAAAAAAATATGGAGAAAATGGCAAGACCTTGGCAGAAACAACGAATTACACGCAAGACAATCTAGAAAAGGTACCTGGTAAATTTTAGGGAAAACATTATTGGTCACTGTTTTCTGAAGTTTGTGCTGATGATGTTGTCTAGAGTGATAGTGAGACCCTCATGACTGAACCATTTGACTCAGAGAATATAACACCGTCAAAACTATCCTCCCGAGCCACAAATATTCTCCATCGTAAAGAAAGTATTTGTGACATTGAGTCTATGCATACTAGGCGAGCGACTGTGGCACACTAGAACAGCTATGTATTACCAAAGTTCTTTTTCTAAAACTGGCTGAAATTGGATAAACAATAAATTCGCAGGCTAAATTTCATCAAAGCGATATCAAACTTAACGTGGCTTAAAGTTCATCTTCTACTGCCCGTTAATCACTGTGTTACAACACTTAAAATGCGATGATATGACGAAGAATATGAACTGTTCGACGTTTACAATAGACTTCCTGTGTAATAAATGGATCGCTACGAAGGATAATATCACTTGAATTCCAACTTCTGTTAACATACTAGTCAATTAATTAGAAAAATCAAATCATATTTCCATTGACTTTCGTCTGTATCTGGACATAGCATAAATTTATATAAAGTGCTTCCTTCCACATCACTATTCTCAAATAAGCGATGATATCAAAGAAGGCATGTTGATCACCCTCATATTTACGTAGTATTTATTGATGTTGATGGTCTTGGACCGAATTGACTGGCCTCTGTTAGTATATAAGTTCATGTATGGATCTTTTGACAAAGTCGGTGATTTCAACTTGATATCACGTATAACGGTTGGTAGGAGTAACTAGGATGTACAGTTCGTACTATCCGTAACTCACAACCTGGACGCACCTGTATTTCAATGAGTAACGGTTTTCTCACCAAGACTTCAAACAGGCGCCATATTAATCATACCCCAACAGAGGGTAACCAATTGTGTTTAAGGCAAACAAAAACGGGAAATAATGTTCCCATAGTAAACTACATCCAGTGCATAAGAAGTGGCCTGATGAAAATTTCTTCAAGTATTTAAAGTAGTGGGTAATCGGTTTGAGTCTCAGTAGAAATACCATAATTCACTGTAATGCAGACACGTTCAGCTGAGTCTTAACAAAAAGAAGCATCCATCTTGAATCCTGCTGCTAACCATCATCCACCCTTGACTAATCAGAGAAGACGCTGAAGTTGACAGTGAAATATTCACTGACATCAATTCCTGCTGAATCGACAATATCGTTGTACAAGTCTAGGAGAAAATCGATACCATGAGAAACTGACAAAGTTTACGGGCAACGGAAATATTCATCTTTCTTTCTGATCTTGAAAATAATATTTCCTACAATTGATTCCATTCAGAAATTCAAGCAAAACTTGAACAACAACTTTAGGAGAATTCAATGAATTCATTGTATTCTCTTCAACCACATACAGGCTATAAATGCAAAGGATATATATATAGAGAGAAATACAATCCACATAATTCATTTGTCAAGAAGATGGTAGTCCATTGATGACAGATAACGAAAGAAGTAGTATTCATCACGGACTGACATCAGTTAAGGAGCTACTGAAAATCTGGGAGAACTCGACAACTGTTTTGTCCTCGTATGGGACTCCTCAGCAGTACGCACCAACGACTCGGCTAGGGATGAACTCAGGACTTTCAAGTTTCAAGGTGAACGCGTTAACCATCCAGCCACTAGATCGGTTTCCAGTGGTTCGCAGTTTCCAACGTCTGTCATTTCACGATATAGCGTAACTATCACCCAAAATCTTCCGTCGGCACCCACTTCCCTTCCGACTGGTTGACCCCATAGGTCACGTCTTCTCATCAGAAATGCAAATTAAGGAAGTGCAAATGAAATAACTTGCCATTACTTAAATTGAAGTTATGTATACACAATCAGATTGTCATCTGGCTGCATATGACTAGTCAAAAATGGAATACGTAAGTGTGTATGATGAGTTAA